GTACATGTTGCATTAAAATTTCCCCTCCCAGAAGTCTGTTGTAAACCTGGCACAGCAGAAAATGGCTCATTTCGTGAATAATTTTAATCCAGATAGCTGCAGTTTAGCAACAACTGTGATTTTTTTTTTTTTTTTTCCCCTCTCTGCATTTCAAGAAAAAATGATTTTGGATTTCAGATCCATAGCTAAAAGCTGGTTTTGGGGGTGCAGTTTCACACTGTGGAGAAAATTAACTCGGCACGTTATCCATCAGTTATTCCAAACATTTGGAATATCTTTGGCCACATCTTTGGCCACAAGATGGTGATGCATCAGGTCGTGCAGAGTGTGGAATTGTCCCTGGTGGGCTTAGAGTTACAGTAAAACACTTGTTGCCTCACACTCTTTACAAAGACTTCAGTCTGCTTTTCCCCCGTGGTTCCGGTAGGGTTTCGTTTCAAACCGGGCGAACGAGGTGATTTTGTGTAGGGAAAGCAGGGCAGAGAAGAATCTTTTGGAGGTTTTCTGGAGGTTTGCTGAGCAGTGCCTTTCTCTCTGCAGCAGGAGGAGGAGGAGTCCCTCTCCACCCCCGGCGCGGCGGCGACGCTCGCCCTCCCCGGCCCCCCCTCCCCGGCGCCGGCGCTCCCCGTCCCTGCCCCGGCGAAGGTAGGGCCCTTCTCAGGGAGGGACTCTGGGTTTGTTCCCTTCCCGCTGGGACAGGGGAAAAGAAATGTCCTCTCACCAGTTCTTTGGCTCCCAGCCTGCTGGGGAGAGTGTGGGTGGTGGGTGCGTGGCCTGGATGGCACTGGATGCCTGGAGCAAATCCTGAACCGCGGAATTGCGGATCGTGGAGTGGCTTGGCTTGAACTGAATGACCTTAGAGCTCGTTCAGTTCCATCCCCTGCCATGAGCAGGGGCACCTTCCACTATCCCAGGTTGCTCCAAGCCCTGTCAAACCTGGCCTTGAACACTTCCAGGGATGGGGCATCCACAGCTTCTCTGGGCAGCGAGTTTTAAAGGATTTTAGTTTGAATTTTTAGAAGCCTTAGAAGAGTTTCCTTTTAAATTTCTAGACCTTTTAAAGGATGTTAGTTTAAATTTTTAGAAGCCTTAAAAGAGTTTCCTCTTAAATTTTTAGAAGTCTTAAAGGATTTTAGTTAAAATTTTTAGAAGACTTGAAGGAGTTTCCTTTTAAATTTTTAGGAGTTTTAAAGGGTTTTAGTTTGAATTTTTAGAGGTCTTGAAGGAGTTTCCTTTTAAATTTTTAGAATTTTTAAAGGATTTTAGTTTGAATTTTTAGAAGCCTTAAAAGAGTTTCCTTTTAAGTTTTTAGAGCTTTTAAAGGACTGTAGTAGAAGTTTTAAAGGATTTTAGAAGAATTCCGTTCCCCCTCCTTGGGTGAATGGCAGGACTGATTCCCAGGCCTGGGTGGCCCCTGACTGTTGGTTCTCTCCGCAGGTCTCCATCCCCACCCCCTCGCAGGCGCTCTCCCTCTCCCCGGCGATACTCCCCCCCAATCCAGAGGCGATATTCTCCATCACCACCTCCCAAGAGAAGAACAGCTTCCCCTCCTCCCCCTCCCAAACGAAGGGCGTCCCCTTCCCCGCAGTCGAAGCGCAGAGTCTCCCACTCGCCGCCGCCAAAACAGAGGAGCTCCCCGACCGCCAAGCGGCGTTCCCCTTCCGTGTCCTCCAAGCACAGGAAGGGATCTCCTCCCAGCAGGTCCAACCGGGAAACACGTTCCCCACCTCAAAACAAAAGGCATTCACCCTTGCCACGGCCTCGAGCTTCCCACCCCTCTGCCAGCCCGCCGCCGCCGCGCAGGGGAGCGTCGGCGTCGCCCCAGAGGAGACAGTCCCCATCTCCCAGCTCCAGACCCATCCGCAGGGTGTCCAGAACGCCTGAACCCAAGAAGACAAAGTAAAACAATCCATCTTTGCTGCTTTGGGTTTCACAAGGGGTTTTTGGTTTGTTGTAATGCAGCGGGAATAGCCAGGGGGTCACGGAATCTCATATGGGTTTGGCCTAGAGGGGACTTTAAAGATCATTCAGCATGCATGGTCCACTAGCCCAGGTTGCTCCAAGCCCTGTCCAACCTGGCCTTGGACACTTCCAGGGATGGGGCAGCCACAGCTTCCCTGGGCAACCTGTGCCAGGGCCCCACCCATCTCTGAGTAAAGAATTTCTTCCCAGTATCCAATCTAAGCCTGCCCTCTGTCAGTTTAAAACCATTCCCCCCATCCTGTCACTGCTTGCCTGCATAAAAAGTCCCTCTCCCTTTTTCTTTTAAACCCCCTTGAGGCACTGGAATGCTGCCATGGGTTCTCTCTGAGCCTTCTCTTCTAATTGCTGGCTTTAAAGAACAATGAACTTTATCTTTAAACCTAACTGTGGAAGGGAACCAACACTTCTCATTAGCTCATAAATAATTTTGCAGGTGGTCATCTGAGAGAAACTACTAAAATTCAAAATCTTTTTGTCCTTAGTGTGATGCTGTTCTTATGAGCACATAGTCAAAAATACGGTGCTGGCTTATTGTTTTGGGAAGATGTAGCTGAGTGGAAAGCCTTGCACTCTTCATTGGGTGATCCAATAGCATTGCTGTTCTCTTGACTTTTAATGAATTAGTGATATTAGGAAGGGAGCAATCACTCCTGAGCAGCAGCAGGATTGTTTAACAGGCTCTCAGGCTGCATTATCCTCCTGCATCACAGACCCACAGTGCTATTGGATTGTTTGGCCTTTTGTAACGTGCCAGCAAAGCAATTAATGCTCTTCTAAGTGGCAGCTTGACCAAGTTATAAGCACACATATAATTTGGCTCTTTGGTTAGTTTTTACTTGTGTCTGTCTCTGACTGTGACTCTTCTGTTTTTCAGGGCTTCCACCCCCAGCCCCCGGCGCGTGTCCTCGTCTCGCTCGGCCTCGGGGTCACCCGAGCCAGCACCCAAAAAGCACCAAGGACCTGCATCTCCTGCTCGCTCTCGTTCTCCCTCTGCCAACTGGTCACCTGCAAAAAAGGCCAAAAGCCCAACTCAGAGCCCCTCACCTGCCAGGGTATTTGTTTGCTCATAAAGCCATGCTGGGTCATAGGGCAAGTTGTGTTCCTGAAGGCTGAGCTGCTGAGCAGCTCTGAGGTTCTTCACACGGTGGGGGGGGAAGAAAAGTCCTTGGGGCGTTTTTCATAGTTAAAAACATAAATTTTTCATATTTAACATCTCAGAGTGTGAATACAAGTGCTATTTAGATAGAAATTCTGGAAGAAAAGTCCCATTTTATGAGTCTACATGAGTTTTGTGATGTCAAGTGGTGTGGGCTTATTTGTGCTTAGTAGTCTTGCATGCAAACTTTAGGCTGTTCCTAGCAGGAAGGGAACAGATTGTTTGGCATCCTTACCTGAGGTGTTTCCCAGGGACACTTCCACTCTTTGCCAGAGAATTTGGAAGCCTTAGGGATGAGTTGTAATATGTTGCATTGTTCGTTACAGAATTCAGATCAAGAAGGGGGCGGCAAGAAGAAGAAGAAAAAGAAGGATAAGAAGCATAAAAAGGATAAAAAGCACAAGAAGCACAAAAAACACAAGAAGGAGAAGGCGGCCGCGGCCGCAGCAGCTGCTGCTGTGGCTGCAGCAGACACCACCTCCACACAGGAAGACCAGGAAGCAGAGACAGAACCCAAAAAGGTAGGAATTTGGTACCTGAGCTGCGCTTTGTAAGGGTCCAGTGTAAGAAGGCAGGTGGGGGTGGCCGTGCACTGCACTCCTGGGGACTGGCAGCCGTGGTTCCAGGGGGAGCCTTGGTGTGGTGCGGGTTTCCCTTCGGGATCTGTGGTGTTGGGAGGGCTCGGCCTGGCTTGGTTCGGGTGTTTGAATCAGGGCTTTGTCTTTGTTTGAAGGAGACAGAAAGTGAACCTGAAGACAACCTGGATGACCTAGAGAAGCACCTGCGAGAGAAGGCCCTGAGGTCCATGAGGAAGGCGCAAGTATCCCCACCCTCCTAGGCCCGGCCCTTTGATATAATGTACATTTTATTTGGTTTGTACTCAGAATTCAATTTCAAATTGCTAAATGTGTTTGAGCTTTAGAATATAACATTTGTTGTAATAATTGCTAGGTTGAGGTTCACCATGTACAAAAGGGCATGGATTTACATTACAAAAGGTGTCCACAGTGTACTAGTGACATTCTTTCATTGACAGCATAATTTCATTTAGAGTGAGACTTCTTAGAAGCAGTAGGAATTTTGTTTTGAAGGTTTGAGACATGACCGTCAATTCCCTTGTTTCTTTGAACTCCAACAAAGCCTTGAGCATAATTTGTGAGGGTCTCATTTGACTTCTTTTGTATCCACTTACATGATGCTACTAACCTTTGTGGTTTGTAAGCTTGCCCAGAAGTAAAACCACTGCAGAATTCCAAGGAAGTACATCTATATTTTAATGCTTTCTACTGTTGCCTGTATAGTCTCCATTAAAGCCAATCAAGAATAGCAATTTAGAATGGTACATAAATGAAAGCATGTTGTTTACCAGGACACTGTGGGTTTATATTGATGTTAACATGTTGATTTGGAACACTGGAATTTCATTTGTATTTTTATGTTCTTTTTTTAAAGGGCAGTTTCCATGATCAGCAGTCCCAGAAAAAACAAAAAAAAAAATAATTCCTTCAGTTCCATAAATTTTATTTGTGAGCTGTCGTTGCCCCAATTCATAAATCTTGTCTCGTTACGGTTCTTCGGAATGGTCAGAGCAACTTTCAGAGATGTGGTCTTTGAAAGTGTGAGGAACCTGAACTTTGGATATTGTCATGTTTTCACTGTTCTTTGTTTTTGTTTTTTTAACTAAAGCTATATAAAGCTTGTGGATTAAACAAAATAAATTTCTAAATTTAAACAGATGTTGGCTATTTTTATATGGGCATTTACATTTGCTAATCGGCTTTCTTTTGTACGAGGTTCATGAATACTCAGAGATGAAAAAGTATTTGATCCAGTATGCTGGCTCTGGAAAAATTGGGGCTTTTAACTGTCCTGAGGGAGCAGGAAGAGCCCTTTAATTAGTGATGCTCCTGTTGTGTTCTTGCAAAGCAAGAGTCAAACTGGTCAGCTCTGATAGGATGGAGAAGCTTAAAGCAAACCAACCGTGTGCTGTGGAAATGGCTTGTCAGAGCAAGTAAAATGTTTCAAGGTCCTGCAAAAAATGAACAGCAGGTTTAATTAACTTAGTGAAGGAGTTGTAGTTGTGTGAGGAATCCGAGGAATCCTGGGGGCTCACTGCCTTTCCATAATCATGGAATCACAGCGTGGTTTGGGTTGGAAGGGACCTTAAAAGTTACCCAGTTCCAACCCCCATATCATCATACTGGAAACTTGCTGGATTACTGCTGTTGAATTCTTTTAAAAACTCAAGCTGTGCTTCTGAAATCAAATCAGTTCTGAAGTCTGGGGTTCCTCTGGGAGGAGGAATGGAACATATTTTGAATTTTTTTTGTCCTGCATCTGAAGTAGATGTGATGTGTACAATGAAGTGTAGATATTTGATGAGTCTTTTTACTTGCCATCGTGTAGGGTTTTGAACTAAAGCAGGGCTGCTGTAGATCTTGGGTGGAAGGGGATATTTCAAAGTAGCTCCTGCACTTCCTTATGTGCTGCATCTTTGTTTCTTAGCATAAGTATCATTGTATGCTCAAGTGCTTGTAAACCTACTTCAGCAGCTTGAATGTTGAGTATCATCTGTTATTAAAATGTGTATAATAAATTCCAAGAAGCTTCTGGACAAAGACATTTTTAAAAGTACATTTGAGTGGATTTGGTGCTTATGAAGCCACAGACCTGGATATGGGACGTGCTCCTTCAGTTGGATTTTCCCTGGGATGTTCCTGGGCAGCACAAATGACTGGGAGGCTGCAGAGCCCTGGGCTGTGCAGCTCCCAAGGGTTAATGCCTCTTCCTTTATCATCCCAATCTTGCTTCCACCTGGGTTTGGTGACCTCCCAGTGCCTTTTAATCTTAGCACTAATAGAAGTCCTTTAAATATGTTCAGTACCTGAGTCACTGCTTATCTTCCCTCACACCTATTTCCCTCTCCTGCCTCCAGGACTCTGATAAAGGGCCTCACTGCTGGTTTTGGATGTTCCCCCACCTCTCTCCTTTGGAGCTTCTATTGTTGGTGCTCCCTCCTCTTATTTCATCTATCCATAAAGAATGGTTTAGATTTAAAAAGAGCAATTAAATGTGCTCTTTAAGAGGAGTGTAACTTCTAAGTTGTGTTTAGCTGAATATTTTAATTCCTTCCTACTTAACCCATTCAAGTACTAACGTTGTATTTAAATACCAGTCAAAGGATAAACCAGCCTTCTCCTGTCCTCTCCTGAGCTCTCACTGTTCTTGCTGCTCTCAGTGCTGTTGCTTAGATGTTTTTTAGCACAGAATCTCTTCTGGGCTGATTTCCATTTGTGTCTGTACAGCAAAGCTTTGTCCTGGGAAACTGTTGACTGACATCACTGAATTCACTCCTGATCCCCTGATTGAGATCCCATCATCCAAACCCAAACTTGTCTGATCCCTTCACTGCTCCAGCTTCTTGGTTAACCTCTTCTCTCTGTTTTTCATCCTTTTATTTGTAGCTGCTGTAGTTCAGAAAGTGACTGTGCAGGTGCCTGGTGCGACGGGGTGGAAGCTGCGTGGATCTCACTTGCTCTTTTTGTGGTGGATCTGCTAGTGCTGAACGTGGGGGTTTTGACCCAGGCCATCTTCCTGAAGTGACAGGTACAGGGTTTAGAGAAGGGACTTGCTGCAGTAATTATATCTAACTGCACAAAATGGCCCCACTCAAGTTTAGTTGGCTTAAATAATTTAACTGAAAACGAGTCTGCTGGAGTGGGGCTGGAGTGAGTCATGGACAGGCCAGTCTCTGTAGCTCACACAAAAGAAAGATGTATTTGTTGTGTCAACAGGTGGGACAATGGCAGGTGTGTGTGTGTGTGTGTGTGCAAGGGTTCAAAGTTTATAGAAACTCAGTGCTGGATTATTAAATTTTTCCACTTGTGTGACTTTGGCAGTTTGCCTGGGAGTCCTGTGTGGAGCTCTCTGAGCTCCACCACTGGGTTTGCATTGAAACTAAGCAGTGAATTGCCTCAGGGGACAGAACTGTTCTGCTGCTGCTCTGGACAGGGCCTTGTGCTCCCTGCTGTGATCCCAGAGATAAATGAGGCAGAGTTCTGTGCTCAGAGCCATCACTAAACCTGGCTCATCAGAGCTCCCTCGTGCTCAGCCCAGCTGTGTCTGACACAAATGAGGCTCCTGAGCTGACTGGCCAGGGAGGGCTGGAGGGAGGGCCCTGGGCTGGGAGGAGCAGCTCAGACATCCCCGTGCAGTTTTGCACTCTGACTTCATTCCTCAGCACCAAACCTCCAAATATGTGAGTTTTGGTATAAAAAGCAGCTCTTGGAGGAGCAGCTTTCAGCAGGGCATGGAGCTGTATTTTGATTGAGTTTCATTTCAGCTGCTGTGTGTGGTAACTTAAGATTTAGCACAGGATCATCCCATAAACCCTTGAATTGTCTGCCTAAAGTCCATTGTTGGTGTCACCAACGAATCCAGCAAAGCAGTCACTGCCCTGACAGTTCCAGTGGAATTCTGTTTCTCTGGATCAGGCCTTACTCGTTCCAATGAATTACCTGGGTATTTCTTCGAGGACAATAAAAAGATTATTAAAGCTGAGCACAATGGAACAGAACATTGTGTATGTCCAGACTTTAATCAACAGTTTGACTTTTGAACGGGTGTTGTGTGGATCCTGCCTGTCTGCCAGGGAGGGAAGATCCTCTGGAATTCTTCCTTAGCTGGGAGTGTCGGATTTTGCAATGGGACCTGGCCAACTCCCGGGGCAGGTGAGTCAGCGTTTGACACCCCAGTCTGGGTGAAGCTGGATTAGAGGGCAGGTGACTCACGGGGATGGCAGCCACGCTGTGCCATCCGTGCCCTTTGTGCCGCAGCGTTTGGCCACAGGTTTGGCTAATCCCAAAAATCAGCACTGCAGGATGCTGGCTCCCAAACCAGTGCTGGAAGCACAGCTCCCTCAGGTCAGGGTTGCCAGAGGTGGGGAGATGACTGAGCCTTCAGTGCAAGGTGTTTTCATCATCAAATAACTACCTGTAGAGTTCCTATTGTGGCAGATTCTGTAAGAACAGTGGGTTTGCTCCTTTGGGATCAATCCCTTGGGAATTGTGTAGTGAACACCTGCCAGAGCCAGTGGTGCAGGACTTGACCTTCAGGCCATGAGCCAGGACGGGGGGAAGCCGCCCAGCCCAGGACAGGGGGTCAGGAATCATTTTTAACTCCCCCATCTTTCCCCAGCCAGGCCGGGCTGTGTGTGGTGGGATGAGCCGAGCACAGGAGGGATGTGGGGTCCAGAGCCTCCATCCCCCCCTCAAAGGCAGGATGAGGCCGCCCCGCGGGTCCCCAGCGCTCACAGCGTCAGTGTGGCCTTGGGATGGAGCTGGAGCTGCGTGTCCTGAGCAACGGCCACGGCTGGAGAAGGGACAGGAGACGGGAGCAGGGGCTGCTCCGACAGCGATACCGGCGCCTGACACAGCCCCCCGGAGCCAGCTCTGCTGCTGCAGTAAGGTAATAAGTCCAGGGAGCAGCAGGTGCTCATGGAGAAATGGAGAAGGACGTTGTCCACCAGATACTGGAGAGCTCAGGTTGCTCTTTCCAGCTGTGGGAGAGGAGCAGGGCTGGTCCCTGCGTGTGAGCCGCGTCCGCTGCTCCGGGCAGGGTGGGCGACGCTCTGAGTGCTCGGCGTGGGAAGCTCGGGATCCTTCTGTCTCACTTAAAAGAAAACACGGAAAACGGCTGTCTTGGGAAAGCAGCTCTGGGGGGAAGGGAATTGCTGGTTCCTCCACACAAAGGCTTTGTGTTCGGTGCAGGGGCAGAGCTGCAGCTTGTGTAAATTGTTGTGGCTGTGCTGAAAGGAGCGGAGCTCTGCTGCCGACTCAGCTCGGGGATGGCCCCTGGAGAGAAGGGTCAGCCCGTGGGGCCGACTCTCCAAGCACGTGCATCACTTATCTGCTCAGCCAGAGCTTCCTTTTGGGATTTCTCCCCACCCTTGACCTGTGCCGATGCCGTGCCCTGCTCCAGGTTGTCCCCAAGCTCACAAACCTCGGCTGCCTCTGTGGTGCCCCTGCCCTGACCCAGCACGTGTGGTGGGAGAAGGGAATGTCCATGATGGGACAACCTGGGCCTGGGCTCCAGGTGCTGCCTGGGAAGCTCATGGAAAGGTATTTGCCCAGGAAAGGGGATGGTTGTAATCCCTCACTCAGGTTTATAAAGAATTGCCTACAAACTTCACATGAAACCGAAGCCAGCGGAACCTTGGTGAGAAATGCTGATCCCTTTTATGAATAACCCCCACATGCTTCCCCTTTCCAGGAGGGAGGAAGCTCCCATTAAAAATTGATAGTCTCCCTGTCAGCTGGATTTTAATTCAGCAAGTGGATTTGACTACTGATGTGAAAAAACTACCTTTGTCACCGTGCTGATATTTTTTTAATGAGACAGAAATGGTTTGGCACCTTTCCAGCTTATTAAAATCTCTGTGAGTCCACAGGCACTGGCACAAGGGGATGGGAAGGGAAAATTACATTGAGTGCATGATTGGCAAAACAAAATCAAGCACTTTTTTATTTATTTATTTTTAATCTGTTACAAGCCTGTGAATGAATCCTTCTATTATTTATGGGGGAGGATAAAGGGAGCCGTCCCTGTGGCTGCAGGAGGAGGCAGACTCCGCTTTCAGTTCAACTCTTCTTTCCAGACGAGGAAAGTGAACACCTCACTGTTACCCAGGGCAGAGAGAAGTGAAGGTAGCTGTGTGAAAATGGAGTAATTCATGTTTTGTGGGAGAACAGGGCATTACCAGGAGGGGAGGATCTCCACGGGGACAGGGCTCGTGGCAGTGGTCTGTGGGTTCCCTGGGTTACCGCAGGGTAAATCTCTGCTGAAAAAAAGCCTTCCACCCTCCCCAGGGGCTGAGACTGTTTCAGCCCTGCATCCCAGCAGTGAAGTCACCCCAGGGTCTGCATCCTGCACTGGATCAGCTGAGGGAGCTGCTCTCCAGTGACAAGGCTTTGCTACATCCTCACCCAAAGGGCAGCGTGTGCAGAGCACCTCGTCCCAAGGTCGGCCGCGTTGCCAGTGGGGATTTGGCCCTTCTCCAGCTGCTGCTTCCTTCCTCCCTGCCCTCAGCCCAGCACAGCAGCGTGGAGACACTGCAGCAAACGTTAATCTAATTTCCTGCTCGGTGTCCTTTCTGGGTGATCTTTGCTGGGGGAGGAGGGGGATGAGCTGGGTCTGCTGACGCTGCTGTGTAAAGCCGGGCAGCTCATGGGACCAGCCCCCTCCTGCCTCAGTGTCCCCAGCATTCCCCGGTGATGTCATGAAGATTCCTGTTGATAAAATGCTTGATGAAACTCATGTGATTCACATTGTGTTCTTTTGGCAGTTTAGGAGGAGAGTTTTGCTGCAGAGAGGCTGAGGAGCAGGAACCTGCCAGTACCACCGGGCTGTGCCAGGGATACCCCAGGGCTCTGGGATGAGTTTCCTCCTGTAAAGCTTTTCCTAATGTTCCTCGAGGCACCCAATGCTGGGTCCCCCAGGGGCAGATCCCAAAACTGGATGAAGTTCTGACTTGGGGAGGGAAACAGAGGAGAGAAATGAATCTTTGCAGCTGGAGGGATAAGAGCAAGTGGCAGAAGAAATGCCCTCCTGACCAGGCCATTCACCCCCAAAAAAGTGTGGGATAGGCCATGCCCAGGTCCTTTGCAGCTCCCTTTGCCCCTCTTGGCCTGGCTTTGGCACCAGCTCTGCTGGGACCCTCCCCATGTCCCTGAATGCCACTGTTGTGAGCCCTGCAGGTGCCCAGCTCTGACAGGGAAGGGGCCCCAGCTCCCTGGATTTTTGGGTAAGCCAAAATGATGCTACAGGTTTAAATTCCCATGATCAGGCAACGATGCCCAGTCCTGCATCCTCTGAGCCCCACACTCCCACCTGCCCCGAAGGTGAACATCTGCTCTCCAGTTTATAAAAGCTCCACTTCCCCCTGTTGTAACCCCTGGATGGAGCCAAACCTCACACACAGGTTTGCTGTGCCAGAAACAGGGACTTGTCCTGCTGGGCTGAAGTTGTGCAGGTTGAATCTCCCCCTGGATCGTGCCCATGGATGCAGAGCCTGGTGGATTCCGAGGTGCCAGGTGGGTGAGCAGCACGATGCCAAGGCAGATGGTGGGCACAGGGCTGCAGGGACCTTCCTGAACAAAGCAGGGGGGGTTGCCAGGATGCTCTGGGAGCCCCTGGGATGAGTCCCCTGAAACCAGCCCAATGTTCCTGGGCAGATCCCCCCATCCTCCTGGGAGAAGGGGATTTCTGCCTTCTGCTAAGAGAGGATTTGGGTTTATCCTCTGGAGCTGCACATCCCGCTATTAATGAGCAGCCAGGGTATCATTTGAATTTAAATGACATCACAGATGCAGCTCTGCTAATTGCTCATTTGCTTATCCAGGGTAAGGGGTAAATCAGTAAAGGAAACCTGAATCACAGAAAGCTCTTGTGCAGCTCATTAGGATGGGTCTAGGAAAGTGTGTTAACCCTTTCCATGGCAATGCCTCCTTACTCCATTCATGGCTCCATTTCCATCCTGTTGCCCATCTTGCTGCAGGGATTAGCTGGGGAAATGATGCAGATCACCTAGAAATTCTGGGATTCGTGGCTGGGACAGAAGTGAAGGATTTAAAAGGGGGAAATCTCGGCAGTGTTAGTGCTCGGAGAGTTGCTGTGCAGAGCCTGGGTGGGTTTGGACAGCCCTTGTCCTGGGCTGGGCTGTGGGGCAGAGGGATGGCTCCAGTCCTCTGTTATCTATTTGGTGTTGTGCCCAAAATTTTGGCTCTAAATGGCTCTTATCGTTACCTGGTAGGAGCCTGAAGAGTGTCTCGGAGTGATCATTGCACAGAAACGCCACTGGGGTAAAGAGGTGATAATTAAAATTGCAAAATCAAGTACCCGGTGATCTGAAATACCAGAATTTCAGCCTGAGCAGGTAGAGCTTGTGCTGCAGATAACCGGGAAGGTGGGAAGATTTGGGAAATCTTTGGTCCTGCCCCGCAGGATTGTTGTTCTCCCCGTCTGCAGGGCACAAGTGGCTTCACTGAGGGCTGCAGCTGCTTTTTTAATGGGTGACTCAGGAGGTTTGGGCTCAGTTCTCCGTCCTGCTGTGGCCACACCAGGGCTTTGGGACGTCATTCCCTTGTCACTGCCGTGCTGCCTCAGGCTGTGAGGTTTGGAGAAGGTGGAGGAGTTTCTGTGCCCATGTTTGGAGGGCTGGAGCGCTGGACGTGCTGCTGCAATGCAAACAATTTTATCGAAGAGATTACTTCTAAATCCTGGTGGAACTGAGAAATCTTGGCTTCTTGTCCTGATCGTGTTTCCTTTTCTTTCTCGGGTCCTTTGAAAAAAAAAAAATCTGGCTCCTTCCCCTGTGACTCAGATAGGAGGAGATAAACCCCTCATTCATCATGTCCTGCTCGAGTCAGATCAGCGCTTACGCCACCAGTCCGGAGCAGGTTGGCTCAGGGAGGGGTGTTCACTTTGTTCCCTGTGATGAACATAATTCATCTTAGACGTGGACTTTGCCCAAAGAACCACCTGGAAAGCTCCAGGGAGCTGGGATGCCTCCTTGGTGGTGCACAGCTTGGGCACGAGGCCCCTCGGTGGAGGCGTGGGGCTGAGCTGGGGGAGCAGCAGCCTGGGAGGGACTCGTGTTTCTGCAGGAGTAATTCCACATTCCCACTCCAGGATCATGCCTGGTGCTCCCTGAGCCCTCTGTCCATGGGCTTTGCCTGGGATTTAAAGCCTCCCTTGCAGGGCTCCAATAATCCCACTGTCCTGATGCGATAAAAAGACAGTTAAAAAGCCCCATCAGTGTCTTGCTGCCTGCCAGGCCTCGAGGGGCAAATGCACCCAGGGAGGTAATTTGGGACCTTCAGTGGTTCTCAGAGCTGCCTAATCTGCAGAGGGATTTAGTGGGTGCTTGTCTGATGTTGGAGGCTCAGTGCTGGGAGCAGCCAGAGCCCGGGGAAAAGACGGGAGAGGCGGCTGCTGGAACAGCATCACACCACAAAGGGCTTCTGTGCCCAGGGCAGGAGGGTGTTCACCCGGTGTTCAGCCTCACACTCAGGTCTGAGGCTCAGAGCAGGGGGAGGAGGAGGGCAGGGAGGTTTTCCTTACCTGGGGCAGGACACAAGTGACAGAGACTCATCTTCACCTGAGCTGTTGGCTTTGTTCTCTCCCTCCTCTTGCTGGTGTGAGGTAGCACCACACGCCCTCATCAGCTGCCCGTGTTTGGGAGCCCCTCAGGAGCAGAAAACAGCCCCCTCCTCTCCTCAAAGGCTTCTGCCACGCTTGAAGCTTTGCTGTGGAGCCAAGAACGTGAGCAGTGAGAAGAAAACCTGGTTGGTATTTCTGAAGGTGAGAGTCTTGCCATAAATTGGGATGGGTTATCAGGTGCCTACACTGATAGAATCCGAGAATCATGGACCGGTTTGGGATGGAAGGGACCTTAAAGCCCATCTCGTTCTGACCCCCTGCCATGGGCAGGGACACCTTCCACCTGACCAGGTCGCTCAGAGCCCCATCCTTGGACACTTCCAGGGATGGGGCAGCCACAGTTTCTCTGGGCAACCTGTGGCAGGGCCTCCCTGCCCTCACAGGGAAGAATTTTTTCTTAATATCCGTGGGTTTGGATCAAGCCAGTCTGGGGATAAAGAGATTTGGGTGTTGGATTTGGGGTTTTGTGTTGGTTTTTTTTGTCTGTGATGTTGCCCTGCACCCCGCAGAGCTGATACACCGTCTCAGTGTCATTCCTGTAACTGGAGTGATCCCCTGTAGATCCATTCATGGGGGATGAAAGCTGGGAAGGAGCTGGTGCTTCCCCTGCCTGTGCACACACAAAGGAACCCCAGGACACAGAGGCTGTGCTGCCTTTGCACCCTGGGGTCGGACAGAACCTGCAGACCATCAAACCCCCACATCAAACAGCGTCTCCTCCACTGAAGCTTCGTGACAGAAGCCAGTCCACGGTGTTGCAACCCAGCTGGGATCTAATGGACTGAGTTCATTAGGGCTCCCAGCAACTTCCAGGCTTTTCAGATGGTGGAAATTCAGCAGGAAACCTCGCTGGTGGCTCTGATTGCTGCACTTCGGGGTGGCGTGGCTGATTTAACCACTTAATGAACCAGAGCCAGGCAAGCCTGGCATTGTCATTTTGGGAGAAGCAGATTGTGTAGGGTTTTTTTTCTAAGCAAAATCACCTTATCAGTCCAGGTGTTTGAATCACCTGGAGACAAACCTTAAAAGAAAACAGCCAATACCTTAATTTATTTACTTTCAGGCAACTTCTATACATAAAGGTGGGGAAATAGAGATTTTAATCAGGCACGGGAAACTTTTTTTTTCTTTTTTTTTTTTTTCCCCCAAATAACTTTTCAAACCAGAACTGCACTGGATTTTGGGTTTTTCTTGAAGGAACTTCTTGTTCATGTGCATCTGCACAGTGATGCAGGGACACCTTCCAGCTGACCAGGTCGCTCAGAGCCCCATCCTTGGACACTTCCAGGGATGGGGCAGCCACAGTTTCTCTGGGCAACCTGTGGCAGGGCCTCCCCACCCTTGCAGGGGAGAATGTTTTCCTGTTTTGGGGATGTGTCCCAGGGAGGTTTCCCAGCACCCAGACTCAGCTCCCAGCTCCCTTCACAGCAGCTGAGGCTCCAACTCTGCCTCTTGGTCCTTTCCAGGTCGCTTTTTACGAAAGGGAGAAGCCAAAACCTTTGTTTGCTGGTGCTCACAGCGGAGAACAGGCCGGTGTCTGGATTTGGAAAGTAGGGCAGTGAGAATCCCCGGCGAGGCGAGCAGAGCCTGGCAACAACCTCCTGCTGAAAGGGCAGAGTCGGGCATTCTGTCCCTCCTGTTGTCTGGGTGGCCCTGAGAGCCAAGTTCCCTTTGCCCTTCCTTGGATGCCACCTCCAAACACAGGGAGGTGACGGGCAGTGAAACTTCCCCGGGGTTCCAGCGGCACTGAAGGGAGCGAGGTGAAAGCTCTGCCTGTGTCAGCGTTCCCACAAACCTGCCCCCACGGTGCCTCCGTGGAGAGGACCCAAGGCAGCAGACCCAAACCTACAGACAATGCCTGCTTTGTCCACCTCCCTTCTCCTCGGGCGCCGTGAGATGCTGAGTCCAAACATTTAACCACAAAATGCATTAATTACCATCCAGCTCCCCGGGGTAAGGCCCATATGCCAGTAACCAGGGAAGGGGAAAAAAAAAAAAAAGGCATGGAAAGTACATTGATTGTTAAATGACTCTGACTGCAATTACTGCCACTAAAAGTTCCTGATGAACATTTCCTAGAAACATTCAGTTCTCCAGCCCCTGTGCTTGGAGCGGCGTTAACTTGGACCGTGCAAAAGAGGAGCGACCCAGAAATTGTGGGATGAAGGCAACTTCCCACATAATGGCATGGGATGTGTCCTCTGCTCCTGTAGTTCTGCCTCAACCCACAGCAGAGAGCTGTTTTCCACGGGGTTTTTCCACCCGTGGCAGATGTCAGGTCCGATGGAACACGGTGTGTCCTCAGCTGCTCACTCCAGCTCCTGAGCCCGCAGCTAATGCTGGAGTTTGGCATCCGCCCCGGATGGAAATGAGCTACCCAGGGACAGCTGCTTGGGAATTACAGCAAACTGCAAACAGTCTGACACCAGCAGAAGTTTGATTTCCCCCACGCTGCCTGTAAATCTGGCGGGCTCACACCTCCCCAGCAGCTCCAAACCCAAACTCTGCTCAGAGCAGGGTAAGAAAACAGGAAGGAGCAATGACAGAGTGGCCAAGGTGGCAGGTGATGGATGGAGCCGAAATCCCGCTCGGTGCCTGGATGGGGGAAGGAAATGGGAGCTCGTGGAGTTGCTCTGCTAAGGGGGCACCCCCTCAGCAGAGCCACTGGGACACTGGGACACTGGGACACAGGGACACTGGGACACAGGGACACTGGGACACTGGGACACTGGGACATGCCGTCCCCGGGCCTGCGGTCGCTGCCCTTCCGCTGGAAGTCTCCAGGGAAGGACTTTGCAGCATCCCAGCCCAGGATCCCGAATTAGCATTGGAATGAGAGTGCTGGTATTTTTAAACCGGGGTGTGTCATTCCTGCCTTTCTCGTAATAGGTGTCCGTGGGCAGGTTCTTCTCAGAGCCTCATCCAGCGCTGCTTTAAGGAGCTCTGATGAACCCCAGAGTCAGGACAGGCTCTCACTTCCAGCTGGCACGGGATGGTCTGTGCCTTTCCAAACTTCCTCAGCACCTTTCTTCTCAAAGCTCTTCCATTATGCTTAAAAGCCAGGATGTTCATACTGTGTTCCCACTGACCTGTGTGCTGAGCTCCTCCAGTGCCTGAAAAATTCCCTCTAGAAATGAAATCCCATTTTTGAGCCCCCGGGGTCAATGTGGCAGCGAATTCCACCCCTGGAACAGCGAGGGCCAGGGCAGGAGAATGCCTGCTTTGATATCTTTAACATCTGATGCCTCCACTTTCAAAAGCACTTGGAAAGTTTGAGATGGAAAATCGCTGCAGAAAGGCCAAAAGTGCTGGAGAAGTGAAACAATAATAACGTTGTTTTGCTGCTCTGCCAAATGGGAATGAACCTCCTCAATGCAGCATGAAATAATATCGAGGGAGTGACCCACTGAGCACAGGTAGGGGGCCAGAATTGCTTTGTTCCGACTCCCTGGCTTGGTGCAAATTTAGCTTTGAGCAAGTCACTTAACTTTCCTGACTCATTCCTCACCACTGTTAAGGTGGGTGATACTCATTCCCCTATGGGTTGTTAGGAGGACTGGTGGTTTGTTATGTAAAGCTTGGACAAATTAAGTCTAAGTATTATCAAAAGAAAAAAAAAATAAACCTTCCAGAATAGTATAAGCAGTGATTACTGATCTGGGAAAGAATCGAGAGCTTTCAGTGTTCAGAACTGTTCTGGGCATCGTTAGGGGGTTCCTTTGAATGGGGACTGTGAGGGGTTTGATAGGTGGCAGCTAGAAACCAGGCAAATGTCATCTAAAAGTGAAATAATTGAAAAGATATTAAACAAGAGCCAAGGCTGGTGCAGCTGGGTATAAACGAAATAAGCTATTAGCTGCTCTGCAAGAGAACAGCATGGGAGCGCTTTTGTTAGAGGAGAAGTGCAGCGGTGGTGAGGGAAAAACAGCCCTGGCAGCTCCTTTGTAGGGCTGGTGAAACATAAAAAGGCCCCGAGCGCCTCACAGACCTCAAATTTGTTGCTCTACACCCACCTTTATGGGCGCCGTGGGAGAGCTGTTTCTTTGTGCTGAACCACTGCCTTTTCACGGGGAGGTGGGTCTGTGCTTCGGGGAGGCTTTGAAGGGGTTTAAACTTTTACAAAAGCCTGTGATTTTAAAACTTTTGGTGGAGGAGGAGGGCGAAGCAGAGAGGAAGGCTGTGGTGAGGAGTACCTGGCTCAGTGTTCCTTATCCTGGAAAAAGGACTCAGCTCCTGCCTTTCCCACCAGACAGAGGGTACAGCTTTCCCTGCCACGTGCTGCAATGGCCTCGCAATAAAAGCCCCTCGTTAAACCAGTTCCTGAGGCTACTGGGGGCATTTGGCCCAGCTGGTGCAAATTTCTTAGCCTGCCATGCAGCAACGTGAATGGAAAGCCCAAGATTGATGGATGAATGGACTGAATGTTTCTGTGACAATCCCATTTAAGGGAAATTTTTTTCTCTCCCTTCCACCCCACCCACGTTCCAAGGAAGGTGGGGGTGCCCTTTGTGGTACAGGCTGCAATTAATTAATGGGCAATTATGGAGGGAGGTTCCTGGCACGGTCCTGCCGTGCTCCCACATCGCTTTGGTTACAGTGACACGCCGATTTCCAGCTTAGACTGTCCCACCCCGTGAATCAGCGAGATTCCTTGGACTCTGTAAAACAAACAGAAACGAATATTCCACTGGCTCCCGGGGAGCCGAGGCTGTGCAGGAGCTGCAGGAACGGGAATGAAAAGGACTTTGTCACATCGGTGGCCCAGTCCTATCAGCTCCGGAGAGGGGCCGACAGCAGTTTTTCCTGCTCCAGATGAATTCAAGGGCATTCAAAACTGATATTTGCGTAAAGACATCCGGTTATGCAGAACCGAGGGCAGAAAAACGCCCTGGAGAGTAGGAGGTTTTATTATTACCAGCGAATCCTCCGTTGGTAACCATTCCATCCGGAGCCATTCCTGGCTGCAGGGATGGATTTGGGTACAAATTACAGGGAGGTTCATCCCAGCGCTGCGTCTCCAAGTCACCGCGGGCCACCTCGGGGGATCCCACAGCCCCGTCCTGCCCTGGGAACGGCTCTGCCCAGACGTTCAGGTGCAGCTGAGCTCAGACTATTAAAAACAGAGTCTGGGCTCCCGGAAAAAAAAAAAAAAAAAGGAAGGACTGGGAGCGAGGGTGGAGGTGCCGGGGAATAAAAGCCGCTCTGTTCCCGCGGCCTGGGCTCCACGAGGCGCGAAGCCGCATGGGGAAAATGTGATCCCAGGCCGTGCTATTTTGGTGAAAAGACTCGGGGGGGGGAAAAAGAAAAAGCTCGGTTTCGTTTCATCCCGATGTTTCGCCCAGTTCTCCCGCACAGATTTTCTGTCCGGCTCCTCAGCCCCTGACCTTAATAGTGAGGGAAAAAGCAGGCTGGAAACTCTGCTGCCTCTTGGAATGGATTTTCCCCGCAGCCAGGAAAGCAGCTGTTTGTGCTGCTCTGGCGTGGCGGGTCCATGAGTGGGGGAGTCTCTACATTTTACAGTTTTCCCTGAGGGGGAGGCGGGCTGAGGCGACGGTGGGGGGAAACACACACACACAGACCCCGACCACCTCCCCGGCGCGGGCAGCGGCACCGCCAGGGCCGCTCCCAGACGTGAGGTCATCGGGCACCGCCGGGGGCGTCCCGAGCTGACAGGGAGGTGTCCCCGCCGCTGTGAGGGGGAACAGTGGGGACCCCACGTCCCAAAGGGGAACCCCGGCCCTGAGGGGACTCTGCGCCCGCCATGGCCGGCGGCGCCCCCTCAGCGCTGCCCCCTCGGCGGGGCCACGCCCCTTTCATACAACCACGCCCCTTTCATACAACCACGCCCCTTCACGAGGAGGTCACGCCCCTTTCAGGGAGGTCACGCCCCTTCAGCCCAGCCGGCCCGACTGCGCTCCCTTAGGGAGGCCCCGCCCCCTCGAGGAGGCCCCGCCCACCCTCGCGCGGCCCCGGCGGGCTCCGGGCGCGGGGCGGGGCCGCCCTCAGTCGCGCGCAGGGCGGGCGAGGGGAGCGGAGCGGCTTCGCCGTCCCGGCTGTGGCAGCAGCAGCAGCGGCGGCGGCGGGCGAGGCTAAGGCGGGGCGGGGGCTGCAGGAGTGGCGGCGGCAGCGGCGGCGGCAGCGGCGGCGATGGCGCTCTCCGTGCCGGTCAACGGGCTGAAGGAGAGCGACAAGGAGCCCGTCATCGAGCTCTTCGTCAAGGTACGGCCAAGGGAAGGGAAGGAGCGGAGGGGAGGATGGGGGGGGTCCCGTGTGGGCGCCGGGCGCGCGCGCGCTCCGACCGTTGGGCTCCGCCGCCCCCCCTCCCCTCACCCCGCCGCTCGCCCGCCCGGGGCGCTCCGAGTCCCCTCACGGCTTTCTGGGGACCCTCCGCCCGGCGCCCCCCTCTGAGCACCCCCCGAGGGCGCGGGGCTCCCCTGAGGTGCGGGGCGGCCGCGCACAAAAGCGGGGAGCGAGCGAGAGAGGGAGAGAGGGAAGGAGGGCGGGAGGGCGTGTGCCCGGCGCCGGGAGCGGGGTGCGGGAGCCGCGGCTGAGTCAGTGCGCGCAGATGGAGCGGGCGATAGCGCGGACCCGGCGAAGGAGGGGGGGGGGAAAAAGTCACTCCGGGGAAAAAAGTGTTGTGCGTTTTGCTGGAAGATTCTCTGCCCGGCCCGTGCGCGGCAGGACCGCGGGCAGCGGCGGAGGGGGAGCGGCAACCTCAGCTCGCCACAAAAGCATCGCCCCCCGCGGGGTCGTCGCCCGGCATTGTGCGCCCGGAACGCGGCGAAAAGGTGGCAAAAACACCGAGTTACTGCTCGCTCCCCGCCTAAGAAAGTCTACTTTTGTGTCGGAAACCGACCGCCAGTTTTTTATCCGAACCAGAAGAATGAGCATGTGTTGTACTGCCCTTATCTGGCAGAGATACCATATGGTATCTCCACATGTTTTGCATTCATTTGTTGCTGTATGATGCAATATTTTGCATCCTCCCGGGCTCTGGTGATGCAGCATCTTACTTTTGACTTCATATCAAAAGTGCACAGAGTAATTGGTGTTAATCTTCTCTTTTCTGTGCTTAAACGCCCTTTAATGAAAAGGCTCTGTAGAAAAGTATTTAAATTCTTCGGGTGAAGTTTCTTTCTGTTGCAGTGAGAAAATCGGAGATCTCTTCATCTGAGATCTTGGGAATTGCTTTGTATGAAAGCCACGATGACAAACATGGAAATTTCCAGCAGATTAGGTAGAGCTTTGAAAATAAATTATTCAATATAGATTTTATTTATGCTCTAGAAGCGTCGAATTTTTCCCCCTTTCATAGTTTTGAATCGTGTCAAGAGGCAGTAATGGGACCAAGGGAAAGCAGTGGAGGATTCTAGACCTGATTTTAGTCAGAATATTTAGGCTCTTAGTATAGAGGTTAGAACTTACAACTCCATCAATTAAGTTACAGATTACTTTGCATTATTTATAGCAGTGCTACTTTAATATACCATGCTAACTTATCTGTCCTAAAGTTTGCTGGCTGATTTTTTTCTTACTTTTAAACAACTTAGAGCAGTGATTGATGGCAGAAGGATTTGGGGACAGGGGAAATAACCTTTGTGGGTGTGTTTAAAGAGAATATTTCATGCATGAGGAGTGGCATGGAAGAAGTTGTAAAAATAGTTGTGAGAAAGATGTGTTCATTCTGATTTAATCTGGACCAATAAAGGTTGAGACTGTATGAAAGGGGATAATCAGTGACATTTTTCTGTCCCTCTCACTTCTTTATTGGCATGGGTTTAAGAAGGCTAAATTTGGGATTGTCAGTGAGTTGTTTCTCCCTCAAGGAAACCTTTTCCCAGTGACTGCTGCACGCTGTCTGCCTTTAGGATGAAGTTCAGGTTAAAAAAAGAAGTTATTCTTGTCTGCCCTCATGATGTTCAGGTAAAGGTTATTTCCCTGTAAAATCCTTCAGAGGAAGAACAACCCCCTCTGCCCCAGCAGACAGACCAAAATAGTTGTTTCACCTGGGTGTTGTTGCCTGTCCCACACCTTATTGAAGCTGTTCAGCATTATCAGGGTAGTGTTTTTGTAAAGCCTATAAAAGTCTTGTTTTCTGACTCATTTAGATGGTCACCTCAGCAAATGCAAGCAGAATATGGTTATTGAATGGAATGTCTATAGAGGGGAGCACTAGATTTTGATTTAGTCATTTTTTTTCCCCTGTAAATGAGGAGCTCAGTGTGCTGCAGTTTTTCACCTGGTTGTGGCTGCAATGTAGAAAAAAAAATAAATCTGAATTTACCGAGTGTTTCTCGACGTAGCCGATCACTTTTCAGGCAGTGTCTGGGCTCTCGGTTCTCCCCGTGCGCTGTTGGGCAGCGAAGCTCTTCAGGCAGAGGTAGTGGAAAGGCTTCTCGACCAAAATCGAGCTCTCTGCCAAACGCCCGCGGCCCAAGGGCGGTAACTGCATGACCTGAGCACAAAGGATTGTAGCAGCCCAGACTAAGATGAAACAAAGGTACGGATTAAAGCTTGAGAAACAAACCTGCGAAGCAGGAGAGAAAGGGTTTGGCTCCGAGCCCAAGACGTTGGGTTTGAACCTCATTAAATTGTGATCAGTAACAAAATAGGCCGGGCACAGCATGGGGAGGAGCACACACATAGCTGGGTTTCAGTTATGAATAACTACGTGGGGCTGTTTGTCACCAGCAAAGCGATTTTTTTTTTCCTCCAAAGACACTGTATCAATCTGCTGTTACTTGTATTTTCGTAGCCTGTGATGGT